TAAGCATCCTGTGATTTTAACTTCCTCGGCAATTATACTAGACTGTTATTATCTTCTTACTTATCAAGTTGCTCATTTATTTCTCAGGACTAGCTAGGTGCCTGGAATTTCCCTGAAGGAACTTAAGCTTTCCTTTATCTCTGTACTTGGAGGAACTTGCAGGTCACTAAGAGGGCTCCCTGCTCCATCTCAAGCCCCATGACCCAACTTCTGGAGAGGTGGGGGCTGGAGATTGAGTCAATTACCAACAGCCACATTAATGTCTATATAATGAAACCACCACAAAACCCATAATGACAGGGTTCAGAGAGCTTCTGAGTTAGCAAACACATTTACTTGCCCAGAGGGTGGCACAGGAGCTCCTGTGCTTGGAACCCTTCCAGAGCTTCCCAGATGTACCTCTTCATTTGAGTCTTCATTTGCGTTCTTTATAATAAACTATAATAGTGAGTGTAGCATTTTCCTCATTTCCATGCTTCATTCTAGCCAGTTGTATAACCTGAAGCAGAGTGGTTGTGGGATCCTCCAAGTCTGTATCCAAATCAGGTGGAAGTAATCTGGCTACCTGCTACTTGAGACTGGCATCTGAAGGGAAGGAGTCTTGTGGGATTGACTCCTTCAGCATCTGGAGTCTGATGCTCCAGACTCCAGTCAGTGTCAGGATTAACTTGAATAGTAAGACACCTAGTTGGTGTGAGAGTTGGAGAAGTGGTATTGGAAAAGCCACTGTGAATTTGATTTCAAAAAAAATTCATTATTTTTGTTTTGTTTCCAATTAGTATAAAACTGGTTGATGTCTAACATGGCATGGACAGAAATTATTTACATGTCTGCTTGACATAACAACTTCACAGATTTTGGACCCTAATTTATGGTAAATGGCGAATCAAACACAGAAGCACTCAATAATCTTTGAGCAGAACTGTTAAAACACCGAAAGAACAGGCTACCCTGCCCTTACCTTATTTTAGATAACTTTTCATAATATGTAGGCCAGAATCAACATTACTCTGCCTTACAGGGGTTGTTTTTTATTTCAGAACAATTACAATAATGATATCAATGAACATGGATAGAGAATATACTATGGGCCAGATACTCTCCCAGATGGTTTACCAATATTTTATTTATTCCTTCCAATAATGCTACAAAGTAAGCAATTTTTATTATGTATCTTTTATATGAAAGGAACATGAAGATCATTTTGTCCAAAATCATGAAATGGGTAAGAAATAGAAGTGAGATTAAAAACAAAACACAAAAACATTTAAACATGTAAAGTTGGGAATTGATTAGTTTACAGGCTATCAAAGCATTGCGGCCCAGTTCAAAATAGTCAACATTCACCTTCAGATTTTTTTTTTTAAATAAAAGACAGTATTTCTCAAAGTGTAATTCCTAAGTATTCTGAGTGATTCAGATGTTCCTCAACCTTTAAGAACCACAAATCTATGATTTGAACATTAAAGTTCTTCCACTCTGCTACCCTGTGATAGTTAAATATAAGTATGGTATTTAAAACCATCAACATTGTTTACATTGCTATATTAATGTAAAAGTTCATAGAACAAACAAAAGATTAAATAACATGTATGTAAATACATGTAAAATGCTGAGCATATTCACCAGCATGTAGAAATGTTCAATAAATAAAATGTATTATTATTGTCATGATACAATTTCAGAAAATTTAAAAATTTATTCAGGTAATTAAGTCACATATATTCAGGGATTATCAATGACCAGAATTCTAGACTTTCTTTTCACTAATTCATTGTGCTTGCTATCCTTAAGAGGGACATATCTGTTCACATTCCCATTCAGATTGTTCTTGCTTTTAGCAAAACTTGGGTGCCAAATTAATTCATTACATTCATTTACCCTTAGGAAACACTTTAATCTGTATTCCCTTCCCAAAGGTGATTTACCTTTCCAAGTGGCATAGCTCCAGGGAAGATATTTGGTTGTTGGAAACTTTCAGTGACCACACAAGATTTTTAACTAAATAGAGCATGAGACCAGAAGCACAAAGCAGTATTCATAATACTAAGGTTAAGCAAACATTTGTACTTGGCCCATCAGAAAGATTCAGTCCCATATACATGTCACACTGGTTGTGATTCTCTACTACAAAGGTGAGTCAATTTGTTTGATAATTATTTTTCTTTAATTTTAGGTAGTAATTTCAAATTACTCATATTTATTATGTATTTGGCATTTTATATATGAATTTTGAATTGCAAAGTAACCTTTGTAAAGTTGCAGGCACAAATCACACAAATTAAATGTTTTCCTGTCATCCACAGGGTGTTTTGAAAATGTAAGAAGCAGTCTGTGTCCACCCAGAAACACCAAGTCAAAAATTATTGAATAAAGTAGTTAATTAGGTCAAATGATTGAATTTGTATTAGAGGCTTTTTTTTTTCTGAACAGTATGGCTGTTTCAATAATTTCTCCATGTTACATCAATAGCTTGTGGACATAGAGACACTGCCTTTGTGGAGGGTAGGATGTCAGAAAGAAGAGAGAAGGAGACTGTTGAGTGGAACTCTAATGGTCCAGAACAGTGACCCGTGGTGTTTTTAAGTAAGTATGAATGTGGGGAAGGGGATGATAATCAGTTTACCTACCAACTTCAGAAAGGGCGTGGTTTTGACATTAATAGACACAACATTCCTCAGCTATTTCTAAATAAAGTGCCTTGAAGAGCTAAGAAAGACAAATAGAAATAAATATAAATATATATGATAGAAATGTATATATAAATATATGTGGAAAAATATATTAAAAATATGTATTTTATACATACAAATACAAAAGTATTAAAATGTTTTTTTAAGTCCACGTATTCTATTTAGTAGCTTAGAATTAATATCAGCTCACAAATTGACTTAAAGAAGAAATATTTATCAGCATTTGTTCACATTCTTATAATCTGCTGAGTTAATATAGCCTTTAATTGAGAGATAAATATTCCACTTGACAAATAAATATAGCTATATATTTAAAGTGCTAAAAAATCCTTTATTCAAAAAATGGTAATTAGTAAAAACAATCAAGCTGGAATACCTTTGTATATCTGAAAGAAGAATTAATGCAGCAAAACTAATTTTCCATTAAATTATCTGACTGATACAATGTGCTGAAAAGTCTAATCTCTAACAATATTATACATCATAATTTTTCACAGCTTAGGATAATACAGGTTTATTTATTTTTGTTACATTTTAATGTTAAATAAAAGAGCAATGGTTCCAAATTAAAGAGATATTTACTCTTTGCCTCCACCTGTAGAGAAGAGAATTCAGTTCTGAAGAAGTATAACCATTTAGAATGAAAAAGTATAAGCATTTAGAAAGTCTACAAATTTTCAAATCTTAAGACTTTCACTGTCATGTCAACATAGCATTCAGCTCACTAATCTAATTAATGTTTTATGCTGTGATTTTTAAGCTTCTGAATATATGAATAAATGACAGCATAAAATGATCTAAACTAAAAAATTACATTAAAAATAAAAATATTGTTTCAGTATGCAATATGACTTAAAAAACTATTTTCAAAGTCTTTTATGTGCAAAACTCATGTAATTTTTTGTAGTAACCTTTTTAGAAAGTTCAGTACTAGTCTGTGGCCTGTTAGGACCTGGGCTGCACAGGAGGTGAGCAGCAGGTGAGCGAGCATTACCCACTGAGTTCTGCCTCCTTCAGATCATCAGCAGCATTAGGTTCTCATAGGAGTGTGAGCCCTATTGTGAACTGCATGTGTGAGGGATCTAGATTGTATGCTCCTTATGAGAATCTAATGCCTGATGATCTGAGGTGAAACAGTATCATCCTGAAAACATCCCCTCTCCCACAGCCTCCATTGGTGGAAAAGGTTGGGGACCACTGGTTTAAAACATGTAAGTAAACAAAATGAAACAGAAATGTTATATAACTTTCTCCTTATAATGTAAAATGAGAGAAATGATTCTTTTTTTCCCATGATTTCATGTTTACTTTTTTTCTTACCACAAATACAAGTTATGTAACTTTGCAGGTAGAAATGTTATTTCACATCCTTCCTAAAATCACGACACATACTAGCAGTGGTACACCTATTGTAATCTGGTAAAAGCTGACTAGACAGTAGTGATTTTTTTTTCTTGGTGCTTCTCTGCACACTTTTAAATTTAATTTAATTTTATTTTGAGTCCTGGGATACATGTGCCAAACATGCAGGTTTGTTACATAGGTATACATGGGCGATGGTGGTTTGGACAGTAGTGATTTTTTGACATGGACTTTCTAATGCCATGTCCAGTGCTCTTTTATCCATGCATTCTGCATTAATAAAATGAGTCTGAGAGTGGTTTACAGTTATAATGGAGGCAGTGGAGGTCTGCAGTCAAGGAGTCAGTGGGCTGTGGCAATCACATGAGAGAGATACTTTAAATAGTATGTAAAATAAGGGGAGTGCATATACTATATAGGAGGACAGTAATGCAACTGACAAGGCTTGGCACAGCTTGATTAGGTAGAATCCTTGCCTATTTTGCCGGTTTTATTGTCCTATAATCTCTGCTTATTTCCCTGAGAGAATAAGAGAATGAGAGAATCTCTGATGTTGGTAAATGTTGGGAGGGAATAACAGTAACTATAATGAGTAAGTAGTAGTTGGAGTAAGTATAAAATAGGAAACAACTTAAAAATGGTTTCATATCTATGAAGTGTTATTAGTCACAGACAAGGTGTCATCTCAAAGATGGTCATGTTTCTGTGTGTTTGTGTCTGCTCATCTCTGAATGCTCACATGGTGGATGTAGTAATTTAATGAGTACTTGGCCCTGCCTTTCTGGAGGTCCCTGAATGAGACCATCTGTTTCTGAGATGAGGTCTACAATCCTGCAAATATGCAAACCATGACATTTGTGAATTTTCTACGAATCAAAGAGGGAAATTAGCTCGTTATTCAGATGATAAAAGCCTTTTCCTTCTCTGTTTTTCCATTTGCACCATCACACCAGTGGAAATTATGGAGATGAGAAATACTACCTCAGACTTTATTCTCCTAGGACTCTTTAACCATACCACAGCCCACCAAGTCCTCTTCATGATGCTTCTGGCCATCGTTTTGACCTCCCTGTTTGGCAATGCCCTCATGATTCTCCTGATTCACCGGGACTGCCGGCTCCACACGCCCATGTACTTCCTCCTGAGCCAACTCTCCCTCATGGACATAATGCTGGTTTCCACCACTGTGCCCAAAATGGCGGCTGACTACTTGACCGGAAATAACGCCATCTCTTCTGCCGGCTGCGGTGCGCAGATCTTCTTCCTCCCCACGCTGGGGGGTGGAGAGTGCTTCCTCTTAGCAGCCATGGCCTATGACCGCTACGCGGCTGTCTGCCACCCACTCCGATATCCCATGCTCATGAGCTGGCAGCTGTGCCTGAGGATGACCATGTTGTCTTGGCTCCTGGGTGCAGCTGACGGGCTCCTGCAGGCTGCTGCTTCCCTGAGCTTCCCGTATTGCGGGGCACACGAGCTCGATCATTTCTTCTGCGAGGCCCCCGTGCTGGTGCGTTTGGCTTGTGCTGACACTTCAGTCTTCGAAAACGCCATGTACATCTGCTGTGTGTTAATGCTCCTGGTCCCCTTGTCCCTCATCCTGTCCTCCTATGGTCTCATCCTCGCCACTGTTCTCCACAGGCGTTCCACAGAAGCCCGCAAGAAGGCCTTTGCCACCTGCTTGTCACATGTGGCTGTGGTGGGACTCTTTTATGGAGCTGCCATTTTTACCTACATGAGACCCAAATCTCATAGGTCCACTAACCACGATAAGGTTGTGTCAGCCTTCTATACTGTGTTCACCCCTTTGCTAAACCCCCTTATCTACAGTGTGAGGAACAGTGAGGTCAAGGGAGCCCTGAAACGGTGGCTGGGGACGTGTGTAAACATAAAACACCTGCAAAATGAGGCCCACAGGTCAAGATGATCTAGTGTCAAATGAGTCTTAAGTTCCTGAATTTATTAACATTTTAACACATTGTAATTCTCTCCCTTCAATAATTCATGAAGAGAAAATTAAGTTTCTGCATTTATATAATAAGATATTTTGAAGGAAGTGAGACAATTGTATTGAGAGAAACCATTTTTGAGCATTTATGTACTTTTCTTCAAGTGAAGTAAAATCTATATATTACTTTGTATCCTAAAACAACCCCATGATATAAGTACTGTTGACAATATCTCCTACTTTCTAAAAAAAAAATTAACACATGGAAATATTGTTCCCAATTTCACACAGCAAGGAAATATTAAAAAGTGACCCCAGAGCTTGTATTGTAACTTGGAATAGTTTATTTCTGTTCAATAATGTATTTTGAGTGTTATTTTCGATGTGTATGCTCTACGATAAATAAGTGCAGCACACCAACATGGCACAAGTATACATATGTAACAAACCTGCATGTTATGTACATGTACCCTAGAACTTAAAGTATAATAATAATAATAATACAATTTAAAAAAAAAAAAAACTAAATAAGAGGAATCTACCAAAGACAAAGAACATTATTTTAAAATCATATTTTAAAATATAGTTGCACGAAAAAAGGGGAAGTCCACAACTAAAATGTAACCGCTATATTGTCACATTTCTTTTGTATTTATTCCACAGTCCGTTTTTATTTGGTGTTTAAAGGCAAACCTTTTCAAATTTATGTAATTTTTCATTTAAGTAATATTTATCTTTTCCCAGAGTCTCACTGTAATTGCGTTATAAAATTGCTTTAAATTACAACTAAGTTCTCTTTTCTTCACATGTTTTAAAGTTACCTTGACTTACGAACATAGGTCCATGGATATGAACTCTGAATTGCATAATCAGGCTGAATCTTAACAGTTACTAACAGTGAGTTATCAAAGCTGAGTAACACTCAACAACATTATACATTATTGGGTCACCTTACTTCTGCCAAGGCATAGGTGAGTAGAGATATTTCTGATGAAAAACTTGAGACACCTTCTAAAGGTCTGGGGTTTGCAAAACAAAAAAAGATTATTTTATTTATAAAGACACAAGCTAGATAATGATGGCAGAAAGCTGTGGTTATCAAAGCCAAATTGTAATCAGAGACTGGATATCACATTGTCTTAGAGAGTTTTATGATAAAGACTATATTTCCTTTATGTAAAACACACTTAAGAAATAATATAAGTCTTAAGCACACAATGGGAAATAACTAAGAGCTTCCAGGGACAATGTATCTTCAATATAAGTGTTTGAAAGTTAATCCGCCATTTCAGACCATCCTGAATTTCAAAAGGGGCTTGTTTTAGAACAAGTGAGAGGAGTTTCCGTCTTCATCTAGAGCTTCAGTTTCCAAAGCAGTAATGTATTTAAGATAATACCTTCACCAGTGCATGTAAATCCTGAGCCCATGTCTCGAGAGAAGGTTGTTCAGTAAACTCTTGTCTCCTTGGAAGACTTGAGGATGACAGGAGAGAGCATCACCTGTTTAAGACTAAGAGTTTGCTACTCTTGTTAATTATCTCCTTACCCAGTGTTAGGGTGAGAAAGGAACAGAACTGCATAATTTCTGTCCTTTATACCATCTAAAAACTCTTCTCTTAGAATGGATGAAAATTACACAAGCACATGTAGTCGTGGAAATTTCATTACTCATAACAGCTTCATTCACCATCAGAGAAATTATTTTAAAACATGTTGAGCTAAAAAATGGTAAACTAGTCCTATAAAATTTTGGAAGAATAAAAAATTCTAACCAGAAAATTAAGCCTAATATACAGGAGAAAGCTAAAGCAATGACAACAACAACAAAAACACAGAATGAACATTATCTCCAAGCAAATGTAAGACATGAATAAAAATGCACAAAATACCTATAAAAATAAATATGTTTCAAAGAAGTGGTATTTCAGACTTGTTATCTGACCACAGTGAAATTAAATATAAAATAACAATTTTAAACAATTTCAGAAATTATATGTCCATTTCTTATTGCATTTTAAATTTGCAGATGTTTCTACTCTTAATTTCTTAATAAAGGTTTCCATAGAAAATCTTCAAAATCTCCAAAATCTTCAAAATGGTGGGTTAACTTTCAGACACTTATATTGAAGATACATTGTCTCTGGAAGCTCTTAGTGATTTCCCATTGTGTGTTTTAAAATGAGCTGATATGGTTCTCATGAATCTCTAAAGTTAAAGAAGGAGTACTTGATAGAGACAGATTATACAAGAGCATGAATGGTAGAAACAAAATTTTGAATGAGGAGTTACTTAAAATATACGAGGCTCTAGCACCCAGAAACAGAAGCAAGATGAGGCATTGAACTGATCTTGGATATTACCTGCTATCTTCAATCCTTCTGGCTCTTTCTTTTACACTGCCTATATATTCTCTTTAATGTGTAATTTTTAAGTCATTAAGAAACATAATGTTGCAGCTCCAACTGGAATTTATTCATCTTCTGCTGTGCAGAAGCTCTTTAGTTTAATTAGATCCCAATTGTCAATTCTGGTTTTGTTGCCATTGCTTTGGGTGATTTAGTCATGACGTCTTTGCTCATGTCTGTGTCCTGAATGGTATTGCCTAGGTTTTCTTCTAGGGTTTTTATGGTTTTATGTTTTGTGCTTAAGTCCTTAATCCATCTTGAGTGAAGTTTTGTATAAAGTGTAAGGAAGAGGTCCAGTTTCAGTTTTCTCTATATGGCTAGCCAGATTTCCTAGCACCATTTATTAAATAGGGAATCCTTTCCCTATTGCTTGTTTTTGTCAGGTTTGTCAAAGAACAGATGGTTGTAGATGTGTGGCCTTAATTCTGAGGCCTCTCTTCTGTTTATTGCTCTATATATCTGTTTTGGTACCAGTACCACGCTGTTTTGTTTACTGTAGCCTTGTAGTATAGTTTGAAGTCAGGTGGCGTGATGCCTCCAGCTTTGTCCTTTTTGCTTAGGATTGTCTTGGCTAAATGGGCTCCCTTTTGGTTTCATATGAAATTTAAAGTAGTTTTCTCTAATTCTGAGAAGAAAGTCAATGGTAGCTTGGTGGGGATAGCAATTAATGTATAAATTACTTTGAGCAGTATGGCCATTTTCATGGTTTTGATTCTTTCTATCCATGAGCATGGAATATTTTTTCATTTGTTTGTGTCCTCTCTTATTTCCTTGAGCAGTGATTTGTAGTTCTCCTTGAAGAGGTCCTTCATATCCTTTGTAAGTTGTATTCCTAGGTGTTTTATTCCCTTTGCAGCAATTCTGAATGGGCTATAACTCATGGTTTGGCTCTCTGTCTATCATTGGTGTGTAGGAATCCTTGTGATTTTTACATATTGATTTTGTATCCTGAGACTTTGGTGAAGTTGCCTGTCAGCTTAAAGAGATTTTGGGCTGAGACGATGGGGTTTTCTAAGTATGCAATCATGTAATCTGCAAACGGAGACAATTTGACTTCCTCTCTTCCTATTGGAATCATCAGAGTGAACAGGCTACTTACAGACTGGGAGAAAATTTTTGCAATTTATCCATCTGACAAAGAGCTAATAGCAAGAATCTACCAGGAAGTTAAACATATTTACAAGAAAAAAACAATCCCATCAAAAAGTGGGCAAAGTATATGAACAGACACTTCTCAAACAAAAACATTTATGTGGCCAAGAAACATATGAAAAAAGCTCATCATCACTGGTCCTTATAGAAATGCAAATTGAAACCACAATAACATACCATATCATGCCAGTTAGAATGGCCATCACTAAAAAGTCAGGAAACAACAGATGCTGGTAAGGATGTCGAAAAATAGGAACGTTTTTACACTGTTGCTGGGAGTGTAAATTAGTTCAACCATTGTGGAAAACAGTGTGGTGATTCCTCAAGGATCTAGGACCAGAAATACAATTTGACCCTGCAATCCCATTTCTGAGTATATACCCAAAGGATTAGAAACCATTCTACTATAAAGACACATGCACACATATGTTTATTGCAGCTATTTCCAATAGTAAAGACTTGAATCCAACACAAATGCTCATCAATGATAGACTAGCTAAAGACAATATGGCACATATACACCACAGTACTATACAGCCATTAGAAAGGAGGAGTTTATGTCCTTTGCAGGGACATGGATGAAGCTGGAAACCATCATTCTCAGGAGACTAACACAAGAACAGTAAACCAAACACTGCATATTCTCATTCGTAAGTGGAAGTTGAACAATGAGAGTACATGGACACAGGGAGGGAAACATTACCCACTGAGGCCTACTGAGAGGTGGGGGGCTAGGGGAGGGATAGCATTAGGAGAAATATCTAATGTAGATGATGGGTTGATGGGTCCAACAAACCACCATGGCACATGTATACCTATGTAACAAACCTGCACGTTCTGCACATGTACCCCAGAACTTAAAGTATAATTTTAATAAATTAAAATAAATACCTAATACAATAAAAAAGAATTCGTTCATCTTCAAAGTGCAATTTATTTACATTAATACAGATTTATTTAATACTGTTCATGCAAATCTTAATTGTACAGCTGGTAAATTTTTTACATATGTAAAAATCATATGTATCTGCGTAACTACAACAAAAAGATCATCTAGTTCCCTTTATGTCTTCCTTTTGTCTCTTCCAAGTCGATGCCTTCACAAAGGAAATCATTATCCTAACATATTGGTGGGGAGGGACAGCTGACTGTTCTGGCTGATTTGTTAAGAATTCCTTGTGCATGTTGGATATCAATATTTTGCCCAATATCTTCCAATGTACGGCTTGCATCTCTTTTACAACGGAGATGTTTTATGAGCAGAAAGTTTTAGTTGTATGAAGATAAATTCATCAATCTTTTATTTCGTGGTTTTTCTTTTGGTTTTCTTTAAGAAATCTTGGCCTAATCAAAGTCATAAAGATAGTCTACTATGCTAACATTATAATTCTTTTCAAATTAGTTTTTGCGTATGTGTTGTTGGATCGTTACATACTGACCCAGCATTATTTATTGAAAAGGCCTCAGTGGCAGATTAGGTATTATTATTAATTATG